TGGTCCACTTTGCTCCAGTTCTTCTTTTCGGAGGATTGTGAGTTGGATACTGTTTTGTTGCCACCTGCTGTCGAGAAACAGGTAACTATCGCTTGATGGTCGGACTGGTGATTGAGGATATCGTCTTCGTCGATAAAGCAGGTGATTGTGAGGTCATCGAAGTCCTCATTGACCCATACCTGGTCAATGGAGGTTCCCTCAGTGTTGGCTGATCGGACTCCAAAGGTTGGGATCCCCTTTGGAGAGCGCAGGTTGAGACCCCAGTCTGTTAGCATTTCAATCAATTTTTCCGCGTCCTTGTCTGCGATGTTGCTGTGGCTAGGATTCCAGAGGGGGGAGTGTAAATTCGAGTCAGTGGTGCATATGATGGGCAGGAGCTGGGTGGCTAGGGGCGCCTTCCTGAGCATATCTGTGAAGGCTTCAAAACCACTAAGAGTTTTTTGTGGATTATAAACGCTAGCAAGTAATATCTCGCAACCGTGTAGAGTGACGGTGCAAGCCGCTAGGTTTTGGGATTGGGAATGGATGGGGTTTATTATGGGGTGTAAGTCTTGTCTAATGTAAAGACAGGCTCGAGGTCTGTCCTCCTCCGTGAGGGATTTTGGAGAGGAACAGACAAGGGTCCAGTTGGACTGATTGAGTGGAAGATTATCAATAGGGTTGACATACGGTTCTTGGACCGCGATGATGGAAAAGAGGGATGTGAGATCTGAGTTAAAAAGTGAGTGAGTAACGTATTTTGAATGCTTGCAATTCAATTGGAGAATGCCAGCTGAGTTGTTAATTTTTAGTGTTTCTTTTATTTTTTGCTCTAACATTGAGATTGAGCTGTGTTTTCTTGGTTAACCACATTTAAATATGGTGATGAGCTAGGGTTGTATGGTGGGGATCGACTAGAGATCCTCACCGGACACGTTGGCGCGAATGGATGATGTAGGAAATCCGCGTGATTTTCCTTGAAGAGCCTTGGGAGGTTTGTGCTGGGGTCAAGTTTCAACTTGCCTCGCGCACAGGCTGTACATTTCATGGCCAAGTTTCCTTTCACAGGACAATTGTGAGAGCGATGTTCCTCTGAACAGTAAGGGCACATTGGCGCTAATTTACAAGCGGCCGCCGTATGGCCCACACCTTGGCAGTTGAAGCAACGGGTGGGAGGAGGCCCACTTAGCTCTGTTCTGTGTCTACCTCTCCCATGCCACACTTTCGTGCGCGCTGCAAGATTGGCTTCGGTGAGTGTTTTGAAGCCGATGAGCAAGGAGGAATGACGTTTCTCTGACGAATCAGCCGTATCTTTCTTCAGCCACCTCACAAAGAGGGCATTGTCGAGGATATCGCCATTACACGTCTTTAGGAGTTCAATATCCTCAGGACGAGACGGATTGAAGGTTGTAGGGATTCCATGTACAATGATGGAGTGCACTTCCTGTTTCAAGGCTAGGTGCGGTGAAATTTTTGGAAGCCAGTTCGCCGCTTGGCTTCTCAGTGCTTGTATCTGCTTCTGAGACTCGAGGTACACCACCAAGTCATTAGACGGGTGGCGGTGAATGTTACGGACCACTATGGTGTTCTCGTCCTCTGGCGTTGTTTTTATTTCGTTGTCTTTCAGAACAGCGTTGAGGATCCTTATAAGTTCGGGGATAGTTTTGCCCTCACCTACAATAATCGCTGGGTCGGTCTGATTGAGTGTGAGAGACGCTTCCGACTTCGGGCGAGCGTTCTGTTTTGGTTGAGCACGGTGGCTCGACGGGTTCTGTTTGGGGGGGTTGGAGGCACCTGGCGCATGTCGTGATGCAGCTAGAGCATATGAGCTTTGTGCTTGCCCTGGTGTTTGTTGGGGTGGTGACTGCTGTTTGCCCGGGTTCACAGCTGACACGAGCTTGTCCACTTGGGCCGCTAGCGCGTCAAACTTTTCAGTCCACGTATCGCTTCTGAATTCAAACTGGGCATTCGCTGCGAGGGATGATGAGGAAGGGGTAGGAGCGGTTTGGCGGCTTGGATCAAAAACCACTCTACGGGCTTCGGTGATGCTAGCCTGTTCCTGGATCAGACCGATCAGCACTAGGATATCTGCTGCAGATTCGATGTCCACGTTGACCGATTTGGTCCGTTTCGTTTTTGGAACCAGAGTGGCCTTGGATACCTCTAGTAAGCGTTCAACCAAGACCCCAAGGGGTTTGGCTGAGGCGCCGGATCCACCTGGGAATAGCTTGGCGATCCGAGTCGTTCGAGGAGTGCCAGTGATATCTTCGGCCTCCTCGAGAGGACTCGGCGATGAGGCACGCTGTCGATGACGCTTCCTCGAGCCCTCCAGTGAAACTGGAGTTCTCGAGAGGGGTCCCGTGAGTGCCTGAGGGGTGAGGGTGACCAAAGTCGATTGGCGCGTTTTAGGCGTCTGTTCAGTCATTTGACCCGTCAGGTCTGACACGACTGACGCGTCCATCGCGTCGTTGTTCGTCGACTGGTCGTCCCGAGCAGTTGAGAAGTCCTGCAATTCGGGGTCAGGGGGTCCTTCGTCCATTCGGACACGCGACAGGCGAGAAAAGATTGAGTGAATAGTGAAAGAAGGATGAAAAACGAGAACGATTAGAGTGAAAGTGAGTTCAAGAATCCTCCCTTAAGAATGAGATGTCTGTATAGAGTTTGTCTTCCAGTATGTTCAGTGGCGAGTGAGGGCAGATCGGTGGGAACCTTAATGAGAATTAAACTGTGAATTGATCTGCATACCCCATTGAAACTCCTATTATGTACACTACGGTCCAAACTTTAAGGGCAAATATGTCTTCAAAACACCTCCAGTAATGACATTTGAGAAACATGGGACTTACTTAGCAGTGACAAATCTGTTTTGTAATCGTGATGTGGATTTTGTGTTTTTGTAGAAAATATGTAAGGCTGATGTATTTCTTATCATAATTTGAAAACATATATTCTTGAGGTATCTCAATACCTCACCAGAACATAAACTGCCCCAACGGATTGAAAAGCCTGCACCAAGACCTGAGGCTTGACTTTGAAAAACCAAGTGATGAAAACCTTTGCTGAATTCGCATCACTAACCTTTCAGCAAAGTCATAGCTTGCTTTTCACATCTGTTCACTCTTTGACTCCTTTTTCTTTCTATACGACTTCAGGTAAGACCTCTCTTTCTCTTCATCACCATTCTCCACATATTCAGACCTGTGTTAAGTCGATGAAGTCATGAAATATTGGATGCTGACATGTCCCCCATTTCGCATTTCCCATCTCGCTCAATCATTTCCATCGCTCTCATTTGCAGCGTTTGGTTTGCTTTTGGTCAATAAACCTTGTCTCCTGCTTCAGCTCGACCTCATACATAGAAGTTCTAAGTATCACTTCAATTTTTGATTTTTTAGTCACCTAGAATCGGATCAATCGATCAATCGCGTCGCAATTGCTAGCGAATCAAGCTTCCATTCATTGATACCCTTTCAGTCTGCCTCCTTTATATACACCGATCCATAAAAAGCTGTGGTTCATTTCTTGTCTCGTTTGTGATCTCCACAAGTTGTATGTACACTCACTTCCCTTGCATGCAAAGATGTAATGCATCCTCATCACCATCTCACCTTGATGAGTTCTTGAGCCCAAACTCGTGACGAGCCCAGTTCCCCAACGTGCAGGCGGGTGCAGTAACCAATTTTTCAAAAAAATAACCCCATCGGATCGACTCCTTTTTGAACTGAGTGTATGTTCAGTCAAGGTTTTATAATGTAAGAAAAACATTTCCACGACGATTCCCTGATGTACAACGTACATATTTGAAACTTAATCACGTATGTTTACGTTACATTTTTACTGGGGATGTTTTCAACATATGAGGACAACATGCTGGAAACAGGTGATGGAAAACATGTCACGATTACAAATCTTTTGATCCGTAGTGTACGTTTCATTCATAGGTGAGCAGACAAACTCTCAGCCACAAAGTAAGGGGGCTGGAACGAGACCTTAAGGGTATGGTTCAGCCATTAACGTAGATGCCTTCTGAGATCTCGGCCATAGAGAGAGCAAGCCGAGAGAATACACAAAGTACTCAAGAGTGGTATAAAAGATCTACATTTAAGATTAGCATAAGTTAACTTTCCAACATCCATTGGTCCACTCAGGTAGAGGGTGGGGGTTCGACTTCTCAAGGCTCACATCTCGTAGCCTTCGTGAGTTTAGGGGGTTGAGAAGTCACCTTCTCTGGCATGTTCTCGTCCGGGGGTAAGAGTATCTAGGTTGGAGCTTAGTCCCCATCCTAGACTACTCCTATCCTCGGACTACCCCCACACCACAATGCTTACTGGTCCAAGGACAAGGACTGTAGGTATCAATGGTAGAACACGCTAGGAAGTGGAAATCTCAGATAGTCATGAGGAGAAGGATTGAATGTAATAAACAATTGAGAATTGTATTATTTAGAGTCTCATCGCGAGACTCAACCTCTCTCATGAATAGTAGAATGGATTACATGGTGCTCTCTCTAAATAGACTTCTGCTACCTCCGCAGGCTCTGGGAACCCAGTCACTGAGGGTACACAAACATTAGAAACCTGTATGAAAACCCCATATGAAAAATTTGTTCCAACCCATTTGAGTTTTGGGTTTTTGCAGGGAAATCTTGAAATCCAAATGGGTTTGGACAGGTTTTTCCATATGGGTTTTTGATGTTTGTGAGCTTGATTTTTATGAGACTCTCATAGACATATCAATGACATCACTGTTATTTTACCTTTTCTCTCTCTCAAGTCTTTGAAAAAGTCCTTAAAAAATCCATCAAGCAAACATGAAAATCTACCATGAGATGGAAGATTGCCACGGGACGTCATCTTGGGTCGGCACTTGTTCAGCAGGGCTTTTTGGGGGACATGTCAATCTTGCGATTTTGACCGACGTGAAACAAGTGGCGCTTTAGAGCTCAATGGTAGAGTGAGTCATCACAAGAAAAGTGACTGTTGTCAATTGTGTTGAGCCTCTTGGCTTGTCACTTCACAACTGAAGTAATAAATTCATATAAATGTTGATTGATCCAAGAAAGAAGTCAAACAGCTTGACAGATATTGATTGATGACAGAAATGGAGACAAAGAAGATTACAATGGGAGTGAGGTTGATAAGGATGCAGATATTCGTAAGATGGTGCACGTTAAACAGTTATCGAATTGTTCAAAGTAAAAAGCACAGGCTTAGGTGAATATCTATCAATCATAAGCTTAATAGGAGCTAGGTGATCTGTGGCATTTTGCAGATTGCTCTCAGATAACACTGTTGTAAGCCATTTGGACAGTTGAGAGATAGTTGGATGATGATAAACTAAATTAGTCGGTACAGTGATTGATTTCTGGGTACCTTTCTTGATCAAACTGATAAGCTTTGATCGAATTGAAGCGACGTGAACACTAAAAGAAATCCAATAGAATTCACTTTTTAGAAAAATGGACCCTTGAAAGAAAAACAAAACTTCGAGAAATATAATCTTACTGACCTATCACATCCTTGAAGAAATATATCTTCTTCTTCTTTGATATCTCTGCCCATGACACTTTTCAAGATCTTTGCAATAATTGAGTGTATTGAAGCTTCTGAGATTTGACCTGAAGGGTCCGTCAGAGGGACGTAGGAAGCTGAATGATCCTCTATGGGATTTCTCTCATAAATCGCATCAATCTCTGCAGCCAACAGCTGTAAGGTCGGCTTACGTGCTACCGCTGATTTTGATGTCTTGGGTAATGGTTTAATTCTTGGATCAGTGATGAGAAGCAAGTTTCTTGTTAACCTACTATGCGCTGATGCAACCTTATTCGCTGCTTCGATGGAAGGCCTGTATGTTTCGACAAGGTTCGAAAGCTATCATAAGTGAAGTCCCTACAACCTTTAGACAAAATTTTAATGTTCAGCGAGAGTGATTCATACCAGATCAAGTCGATGTAACGCTCAACAGCCAAGGGGTCTTGAGTATCGATAACATGGTCTTGCTGTGGTTCAATAATCACACCGACCTGCGGTTTACCGCGCCCAAATAGCAAAGCGCCCTCTACCGCTGGATCGGCTGCTATAATGGTTTCTAATGGGATACTGAGTACAGATGACAAACTTTAGCTTTGGTTCTCTATGTCAGAAAGGCAAACATGAGCACTTACGGGTTTGTTTTCTCGGAGTTGACGAGTGTAATCTGATCATCAAGCCTGCCCATATGGCGATATAACGGGAGTCTTGGATGCTTCTCCAATAGATCCGATGTATGGTATACCTGCGGCCCAAATTCTTGTTCGAAACCCAAAGAACACCTGTGATGATCCGATGCCTACAGGTAACAACACATAGGTGTGATCCGAGTTCATTTCATTCTCAATCTTTGTGATTCAGAGTTGTTCCGTGACTTACGATAATCACCAACTCATACAAACCATCCTCTTGTTCAACAAGTTGCGCCTTCATTTGTGAGGATAGTCCAAAGTATTCCCAGTTTGGACCATAGCAAGGATCAGGAAGACATACGGACACTACGCCCGCTTCGCTACTGAAGTCGCGGATATCGGAATCAAAGGTTTTGAGGGTGGGATCCGAGAGAGTGTCTCCAAGTGAACAAAACAAAACTTACAGTCCAAAGATTGAAGACATCTTAACGCCTTTTTGATAAAGCAGATTTCCAACTTCGATCGACAAGGGGGCTCCGCCAAAACACAGTCGTTTGACTCCTTGCAGAAACATGAGACTTGACGCTTCATGAGCATATTCCTATAGTATAGTCCAAAAGTCATTAGTATAATGGGGTAAGAATGAGTTGAGTATCAATTCTTACACTGATAGTAAGCGGGCTTAGTACCACGATTGTACAACCTAAGAGACGCATGCCCTGCATGATCGTCACTGGGTTTGGTGTTCGCACTGTACAACGCCCATACTGGTCAAGCTCGGGACGGAAGAATGCACCTACAACGCCTCGTGAAAGGCTTAGAACGAAGGATACATGAACTCCCAATGCATGGTACGGCGGAAGGGCCATTGCCGAGACCAATTCTCCCGTCCAAGCAAATTCACCATAATCAGGCGATATTAGGGAACCACGAAACGTAATTCGGTTGATAGGAACAAGTTTTGGCAGCCCGGTAGTGCCGGAGGAATGGAAGAACAGGACAGGATCAAATTCGGTGTGTTCAAACTTTGGAACGGCCTTGAGTTCGTCGGACAAGTTATGGTTGAATTTATAAGATATACCATCAGCCAATCGAGGGAAAAGAGCAAAAGCTGAAGGAATTTCAAGTAATGTAATTGGATTGAAATCCGATAACTCTTTAAGGACTTCATCCATCTGTTCTCGGCTGAGCTTTTCTGAAACTGACATGTTAGGAGATTCTGAAGGTGTTCTGTCGGGGCAAAATTCTACATATACGTGCTTGCAGCCGCTTGCTCGAATCAAATGTGCAATTCCGACAACTGAGTTTCTAGGTGAAATCAATAGAGGCTGAGTTGAGATTGAAAGAATTTTGTCAGATACGAGGAAAGTCCAATCTACCCCAGAAAGTACCAGACCTTTGACTTACAATTGCGCCTAATCTGATGATTGAGAGAAGCATTGTATAATACACCAGCGGGTCTTTGGATGCGATCAAGCCAATGACGGGTGGACGCGAAGTTGGAAAGTAGTCGATAACTTTCAAAAGGCTGGACGCTGCGCTGACCATTGCACTTCCCACCTCATTCCAAGTAACGACATCTTGTGGTAACGAGTGCCCTTCTGATCCGGCCAAGACACCAAATGGACAATTGGGATTGTTAAGCGGATGAAACTCAGCAAGTGAGCTAGGATTGTAGGTCTTCAAGTTCAGATCTGGTCGTTTGAATTCGGGAAATTCGGCCCTTATTTTTTCAAAGTATGACGGAGAACTTTCCATGTTGGATACGATTGATTCACTATAGTGTATGGACTTATCACAAGTAAAAAGAGGTAAAATGCAACAACTACTGAAGGGCTTATCTCCTGTTATATAGCCGAGTCGAAGGGTATTTCGGAAACAATTTCGAGAAAGATATCTCATGTGCAAGTCTTTCCAGGCCCAGTAATTGCAGAAGACCCCTGGGAGAATGACTCCATGTTTGTCATTTGAGGCCGTCCGATGCCCAAAGTCAAGGAGCTTTTCTTGAGCGCAACAGGCATGGAAAGGCATGCAAACCTAAACTTAACAAAGTCTGCAAACCGTGAACGCTGTGGTGTGTACTTTGCATCGACTATTTAAATCTCTCGCTCTTGAGAATCAAGCCAAGATCTCAAAGGGTGGGGAAACAGCAAAAGCACACTATCGAGCACACGAGCGGGTATCAACGGCATAGACTTGATCAAACTAATTTGTACATCATCTTGAGAGGTGAGAAGTTGAGAACGCGTCCAACCATTCACAATCAGTCAGCATCAGTCAGCAGCAGTAAACAGGCCCTAACAAAGCTTCTATGAACCACACAGACCCACGCAAGCTTCAGCTTTTACATTTGCCGATGATGAGCACATGAGGAAAATGTGGGACTTTGCGCCGGATTTGATTTTAGAGACCTTTCAATGAAGAAATCAGGTATCTGAACTTTTCATTCATTCATTATTACATCGAAGGATTCGTGGAGTGGTCCACAACAAAACTTGTTACAGTGAGTTCCCTTTATAAGCATGGTGATGTCACACCAAATCCTATGCTAATATGAAATATGCTTCTTATCGAATCAGAGCTCAGATGCGGCGCGCGTCATGACAGGACACTAGGCAGTCATGGATGTGCCAGAAATATGCTTGCGATCGAAACAAGTAGTTATGCAATCTCGCCTCACTGATCAGGTTTGTCCGTGGAAGGCTAAGGCTGGAACCACGAGAGGCAGTCTTGTGGTTGAGACCGCAAACTTCACGAGTAAAGTGGCATGGTCAGTTTGCCTCAAATGAAAGTGAAGCGTCTTTCTGAATTTTGCCTTATGCGCCAGTTAGGTATCTCGATGATGGATGGTCAAGCCCGGTCTTCCATGTCAAGAAGGTATCTGGTCTCGAGCATTACTGGCCAATGCACACTAGATATGGAAAGACTTGACATCTCTTGACATACATACAACCAATGGTTGGCTTGCTTCCCCTACCCCTGCCCACCATTGCCAATCTCGATAAATATTCACCATTGATTATTTCCTCGCGTTTCCAACATAGCGGATTCACCAAACAATAAGAACGTCATCATTTTTCGGGTCGGTCAGGATTGCAATCAAAGCCATCTTTCCATCTCGTTCGCGAAACAATAACGGTCCCAGCTCAGACCTCTTCAGGGAGCCCAGCAAATGCCCTCAAGCGGATCCATTTATGGACTGTAGACCCGCGCTAAAACGCCTGAACTCTTGATTACACCCTGGCTAGAACGCACACTCAACATCTCGACTCTACCCGCCACACCCATTGCAGCCATCTCATTTACTCTGGGGCAGTGCCTTTCCTCACGTCCCTGCTTCCTCAACGCGCCCTCACAAGCAAACCAGCACACGGACATCAGCGACTCGCGGGTCCAAATTGCGATTGAGGGCAAATCGCGCTTCTATTGGCCTCAAAGCAGATCCTGGCCATCTCTTCCAATCATCGATTCTCACACCTACAAATAGCCGTCCGTTCGTTGTCCTTTTCGGCTTTCTCTTTTTCCCTCGAGCCGGCTCCTACATTAAACTTAGTCATAACATCTGTCACACTAACACTCTTCTGCCATTGCACAAAAACTTCAAAACCTTGCTTGCACTACTCAGCCATATCAACCCCTCTAGCAACTCGTTAACTTCAATCTTTTCGCATCATCGTTCTCTCGTATCGTGATCTAAACCTGTTCAATCCTTTTGCTTATTTACCCTCTCTACTCCTCGTGTGTGACTGTTAAACTTATTGTGCCTTTAAAGCAAAGACTATCACAAGATGAGCTCTACACAATCAACTTTTGCACCTGTCGCGTCGGCCGGCTCCGATTCTGCGCCGTCATCTTCTATCATTCCAGCCAGCATGCAGCGAAGACATCCCGCGTCACTCATTCCGCGGTATATGCACGACCCTGTTCTGCTCAGCCTTTTGAAGGCACCGTTGAATGACGAGTTGATTTGTACGTCTTTTGAAAATCACCTTTCGAAAACCCTTTCACTAACGTCTGTTCTTTTATATCTTAGCATACGTGGCCGAGCGCACTTTGGCAGTGGTTGCCACACCATCTGACCCAGCGCAATTGCCTACACCACCCACTACCCCCATCAAATCTAGCTTTCGACGCTCCTTGTCACGTAAATTGAAAGAAGCCGCACCTGACGCGCTATCATCAGAATCCACCAGTACAGAACCTACTAACGAAACCAACAAATCAAATGTCCCATCTCTGGCCACCTTCATCAAGCTAACCGCTGCACGCTCTAACGCCCAAGCTCCTACCCTTCTTATGACACTTGTCTACCTTGACAGACTTCGCCAGCGACTCAAAGGTGCCAAGGCTGCAAAAGGCATGCAATGCACCTATCACCGTCTTTTCTTAGCATGCCTAATCGCCGCAGCTAAATACTGTAACGACTGCTGCCCCCGCAACGTTCACTGGGTCAAATGGAGTGGTCTTTTTACTTTGAACGAAGTCAACCTCATGGTACGTGTTCATCCTTCAGAGATTTTACAGGCCTTTTTATTCACTTGTTATATTCTTCATCACCACAGGAACAAGAGCTGTTAATGCTTCTCGACCACGAGCTCCGAGTGGATGAAAAGGACCTCATCTTGATCTGCGCTCCCTTCTTACCTGCTTCTTCAGTGGAGCGAGTTACGAATATGGACCGCAACATCCCATCACTCACTTCATGCGCCACTTCACGTACATCTTCGTCCGAGGGTGTCGACCAGATCCACACTCCAGAGTCAAGCCCCATCGCTATCCAAATAGAACTTGCTCCAGACACCAACTTCGTTCCCATGGTCGAACGCAAGAAGACCAAACTTGTCGAAGCGGCCAATTCCACTGCCACTGTGATCACTCGGGCAAAGTCTTGGTATGGTAATTTGAGGGCATCGGCCGCATAGGATTTTCCGCTTGGAAATATATTGGGTTCTTGTTCTCGTATCTAGCGTCTGCTCTTGTCTTCTACTCCATCTTCTCACACTCTCTCTGGCCTTTATCTTGTTTCGATGGTTTTCTCTCGTCATTCTCTTGATTCACTTCTGGGGTTCATGGTTATCTTTATTTTTATTACTTCAAATGGGTTTCGATTTTTTTCATTTTGGGTGATAGCAGAATCAATTAGGGAAACGTAAATAAAGTTTTGCAAAACGATATTAGGATTGAAGGGACTTAAAGGTTGTTACTGCTAGCACATTTCATAGGATTTTGATCTATCTCCATCGTTTTTGTTGTTTCCATTATCAATGGCCTGTATATAAACTTGTTTGACCTCTCTAAGTATCTATCATATGAGTTGTATCCTCCTTTGCAATTTTCAACTCGATGCTGAAACAGACTATTGACATTTCTATGATACTGATTAATCGTGCGTTGTCACCAAAAAAGAATCACACAAGCCTTCGAGACCTCTCCCAATGAGATCCATCCAGATGGCGAATGAAAGAGCCTGTCAAGAAACTGTGAAAGTTGCGCAATTTACCGGACCCAGCTACAACACGACCCAAGTCTTCTCCCGGCCACGCACTTCCCTGATGAGCACGACAAAAGCATCGACGCCTCTAAAGCTTCTAAAGGTGGTTCATCGCCAGCTGTTTGAAAAGAGCTGTTAACCTCAAAAAAAGTTCGTCCCCAGGCAGGATTGAACTGCCAACCTCCTGATCGCGTTGCAAGTAACAGTCAGACGCGCTAACCAGTTGCGCCATGGAGACCTTGCGGCGTGGGAACCCATGTTACCACACAAATACCCGTCTTCCCAAATCTCCTTGAGGTATAGATCATCCAACCGGAGCATTTTTCAAACGACTCGTCAATAATGAGACCACTGAAGCATTTGTTCGGCCATTAAACCGGAGCATCTGTCCAGATCTATCCTACAACTTTTACAATATATCAAGCTCCTGTTCTTAAGGGCCATTTTGCAAATTTTATAGGTGTAGGTAACTTGCTTATTTACTGATTGGAATATCGGGAAATAGGGACTTCGAGTTTTGGATGTTTAGTAATTGTCGGGTCCGGGTTTGAATGGCTATTTTACCTTTGGAAAAATGACATCATTCCTGTTTACCATCGAAATTCCATCCATTACTCGTTGACCACTTTTTATCAAGTTTCCTTTTTCCTCATTATATCGTCAAACTACAATCTTCAACAGCAAGTATTTTTTGAAAAAGAGAAGGTTTTTCTAAAAAGTATCATTAGCAGAAAAAAGTTATCAAAGTTCTAGACATTTAGTGGTATTTTTTGGAGCTGTTGACCGTAGTTTTTTGGAGATTTGTTGCGGAGGTTCCATCGTTGACCGATATAGATTATGTCAAGTGATGATGTCCTTTATGACGAAGCTGCTACTGTTGCGGCCAAGATTGATGAGCTTCGAGAATCATATCTCTCATCAGATGGATCGAACAATACGTCAATGTTGGAGCTTAGAAACCAGTTTGCGAAGATCCTGCCTTACTCTTCAAAAAACTGGTACAGACACTGGTCGGAATTTGCATATGACTTGGTTAGAAAGGACAGTGCTGCTAAAAGACCGGTTTTTCGCGAACCAAGGAGATAGACCCACGTCTACTCCAAGATCAGACCAAGATAGATTATATATCTTTGCTCCTCCAACGAACCCGGTTTATCCTCCCGACCTTTCAAGACATGCTTCACCGGCTGAGCATGGGAACTCTGGAGTTCAGCATCCTACGAACTCTGGTGATCAAATCCAAGGATCTTCTGGAGATCGTCCGCCGTCTCAGTCAGGTGTGCTTTCAGTCAAAGACAGGATGGCTGTCCTATCCAAGAAAAAATGTGGAAGCTCAAAATCGAATCAACTTGCTTCTCGACAATCAAGGAAAATCTGAGGGGAAGAAACGTTCTCGCCGTCGTCGTGAAAAAAGTTCTTCTAATTCATCTGATTCAACTTAGAAATCTGAAAAGGACAACAAAAAATTTGCCTTCATTACGAAGAAGGTGGAAACCACTGAAGATGAAATCGAGTTTACTCCGGGGGCCCGTCTTTTTGCTGCTGACGTCAAAGGATATGAGTCTAGCATTGTGGCTGCCGTTAGAGGTTTCAATCGAAATGGAAAGCCGGCTTATTTTCCTGAAGTTCTATGAAAAGAACTACTTCTGGGAAAATACATTGATCTTCGGAGGATCAAAGGAGAGCTTCTTAACAAGAAGAAGGGAGACGCGACTTTTATGGCGTCGGGAAAAGAGAAAGGTCTTGAAGTGTCAAAATTTCTTACTCAAGAAAACGATGATTTGGCAGAGTGGGAGCATTACTTCAGAATATTCAAGAAAGCTACGAAGATGGCCTTTCCGGACTGTGGAAAATTTATTTCAGAGTATTCTAAATATATTAAATCTCAGTTCTGGTCTGGTGGCATTAGAGCAAATTGGAGAAACATTGCGGATTACAACGCAGCGTTTAGGAATCAAGTGGCCGATCGAAGATATGTTTGCTTTGCAGATTGGAACCATAAAGATTTCGACGTCCTTAAGACGCAATTTTTTGGTAGTGCATACGATCAACGTTCTAGCAATCTGGTGGCTCCTTCTTCTTTCGCTCGTTATAATCAGCCTTTTGTCAATCCGGTTGCTTCTTCTTTGTTTTCACGAGTAAGTAATCTTTATTGATATATTTCTTTGGATGTGTGACTTACTTTTTGGAGTAGCCTGCTGTCCAAGCTCCTTCTCGTAGAAAAGGAGCTCTTCAGGCAGGTCCTTCAACGTCAAAACCGGCTACTCCTGGAGCTCATTACACACCTGAGTTTAAGCATAAGAATGGTTTGGGGATTACTAGCGCGAAGGGAGTCAAGCATGCGGAACAGTACTGTTTTGCATACAATTCTCCTGAGAACTGTTCGTTCTCAGATGCGGATTGCAGTAGGCTACACCTTTGTGTTGGTATTTTTCCTTCTTACTTTTCTTCGTTTTCTCTGGTGTTTTTGATGTGTCTTTGAGAGAGTTGTGGCTGACCAAAAAGTATTTTACAGAATGTCCGGGGATGTGGTGCAAAACACCGCGGATGCAATCACTCCTGAAGAATATACTTCAGAGAGGTATCTTAGGGGGTATCAATGGGATGGTATGAACCCTCTTGGCTTCTCAGCAGCCATCGAATCTAGTTTAACTGCGGAACCGTTTCCGGACGCTCCTTCTTTAGAAGAAGATGAAGATGCGGCATTTGCTTTGAAACGGTTTCATTATTTATTTACAATTCAAACACCTTTTAATATTGATAAGATGGAACAATTACTGAAGTTCCATCCTAATCAACCGTTTGTGAAGTCGGCAATAAAAGGTCTTAGGGAAGGATTTTGGCCTTCATCTCGTCTTCCGTCGTCAGAAATTGTGGACATTCCGAATCACAAAACTTGTTTCGAAAACCAAGAGCTTTTGGAAAAACAATGTGAGGAGGAAATTGCCAAAGGTCGCTATTCCGAAGAATTTTTGACGTTGTTACCTGGTATGAAAGTCATTCCTCTGTTGATGACTTCAAAGAAAGATTCGGACAAGATGAGAGTTTGTTCGAATATGAGTTTTGGCAAACCGTCTCCAAATGATTTAATTGATAAAGACAAAATCAAAGTTTCGTACGACTCACTTCAATTGTGGATGCCTTTCTTAATCGAGTTGAAGAAAAAACACGGGGACGTTACGATTTTCAAATCCAACGTGGAAGGTGCTTTTAGGACTCTTCCAGCTCATCTTCAATACCAAATTCGACAAGTTCTACGCATCAAAAAGAAATTCAGAATCGATCACAACCTCACTTTTGGATCTTCAGCCTCTCCACACATCTGGTGTGGAGTTTTCTCGCTTGTCCTTTGGATAGCGGAAGAAATTTTTCATATCAAGTCTCTTAACTGTATGATGGACGACGTTTGGTCCGCTGCGGCTGCCGACGATTGGATCACGTTTAAGGATCACAGGATTCCAGGTCCCCAAGCTAAATTACTCATGGTTTTTGACATCTTGGGGGTACCTTGGGTTTGGAAAAAGCAAGTTCACGGTTCGGTCTTAGAGATTATTGGTCACATCGTAGATTCTAAGAAGATGAGTGTGTATTTAGAAGCGGACAAGAAGCTATTAATGATAGATTTGATCAAAAAGTTTGTGTCTACTCCAAGTCATTCGCTTAGAGATTGGCAATCCATGCAGGGCTGGATATCTTGGGGCTTTAACTCAATGCCCTTAGGTAGATTTGCATTGCAAAGTCTTTATGAAAAGACGGGTGGAAAGACGGAACGGTTTCTCTCTATTCATCTTAATAAGGAAAATCAGGGCGATCTTTGGTGGTTAATTGATTATTTTGAATCATGCAACGGAGTTTTGGTCCTGAAATCCTCAACTTGGTCTGCTCTTCAAGCTGATTCGTTATTCTATGTCGACGCATGTCCAACGGGTATTGGAGTGTGGGAGCCTGGTTCAAGGAAAGCTTATTATCACAAGTTACCACTACCTTCTCGTCATATCTTTTGGGCAGAGTTGTTAGCTGTTTTGGCGGCCATTGATTTAGGAATCAACGCAGGATCAAGAAGGATTTATGTGCAAACTGATAACAAAAACGTTTTTCATCTTTTTAATTCACACCGTCCTAACCAACTCATTCGTCCTCTTTTTCGTTACATTGTTCAACGGATGGTTGATTGTCAAGTGGAAGTAAAGGTCGCTCATATTGCTGGATTGACAAATACCTGCGCAGATCTTTTATCTCATTCGTTAACAGACGCTGTGAAAAGAGAATTTTATCCTTCGTCTATTTCTCTTCTTAAAATCGATCCTGTTCTAGGAGCAGGTGGTATCGAAATAAACTTAGAACATTTTAATAACCCGGCTTTATCATGGCGTCGGGACCTTTGATAAAACCATCGACACTATCTTCAGTTAATCACATCAAATTATTAGTCAAACAAGATCAGAAGGCTATCATTAATATCTCAACTTATCAAAAGTACAAATCTGCTTTTAGAAGTTTTTATCGTTTTTGTTTGCAATTCGGATATCTTTTTAATCCTAATTGTGATACTCTTTGTGAATACGTTTCATATACTTGCAGAAAAATTTCCCCTAGATCAGTTCGAATCTATTTAACTGGAATCTACTTCGTTTTTAATCTCAAATATCCAAAAGTAAGATGCGAAACGAAGAACAAATTAGTGAACAAGACTTTGAAAGGATGTTTAAAAACTTTATCGAAGCCAGTTCATCGAAAAGAACCTCTTACAATTAATCAGATTGAACATGCTGTTTCAAGTTTAGGTGTTTCTCATGACAACCGTTTGTTTCTAGTTTTGCTAAGCATAGGCTTTGGTGGTTTACACCGTTTGGGCGAACTTACTATTCCAGATTTGAAAAGGTTATTTAATGAGAAGAAAATTATCCGCCGTTGTTCTCTAAAATTTTCAGTCTGTGGAAAGTTCCTTAAATACATTCTTCCTTATTCGAAATGCGACTCTGGGTTCACGGGGGTTTCAGTGATCATTCAATTTTTTGAGAATTCATCTGCATGTCCAATTATTCGAATGAAATCATATTTACGCTCTCGAGATCTATTATTTTTATCAAAATCAGAATTGTTTTTAACTTCGAATGGTTCCATTCCGTCAAGATCTTGGTTTTTATCACGTTTTCATTCTCTGTTCGACAAGTCTTTTTCGGGGCATTCTCTTAGGTCTGGTGGTGCAACTGCTTTAGCACAGTCAGGTGCTTCTATGGAGTTTATTCAGTCTGCAGGAAGATGGTCTTCAGAGGCCTTTCGTATCTACGTTCGTGGACATGTTGCGTTAAGATTGCCAGACTCACAAAATCACGTGATTGGTCAGCCTGCGCATGTCGGTGCTTCAGTTATTTTTATTTGATGTGAGTTTTCATTTGAACCTTTTCAAGTGTGTAATGCAGTTTGTCTGCCATGTCTCTTAGATTTCTTCTTAAGGAAGTTTTCTTTGGCATTTTTTAGTGAAAAGATTTTTTAATCTTAGTTACGTCTGAATAGAAATTTTTGTTCATTTCTTTTAACAAGAAGAGCATATTTCTACGTTACATCTTTTTTTTGAAATTTTTTGTTATTGAGCTTTTTCGGATTCTTGAACTGACATTGATTCTGGCTCTTTGTTTTAAATTTTTTCTACTCCTCCCTTCTTCACCACTCTTTAAATACGCTTTTATAATAGGCGGGTCGGAGAGGGTGTTGTTTGGTTTTAGGACATGATAATTTATACAAAGTTTATGCCTAGCGTCTTTTAGCGTGTCAGTTTCATCTATCCGTAAGTCTTGACGATATTTCTAGGTGTAGGTAACTTGCTTATTTACTGATTGGAATATCGGGAAATAGGGACTTCGAGTTTTGGATGTTTAGTAATTGTCGGGTCCGGGTTTGAATGGCTATTTTACCTTTGGAAAAATGACATCATTCCTGTTTACCATCGAAATTCCATCCATTACTCGTTGACCACTTTTTATCAAGTTTCCTTTTTCCTCATTATATCGTCAAACTACAATCTTCAACAGCAAGTATTTTTTGAAAAAATCCCACCCTTCCCGCCCTGGGAGATTATTTGGGTAAAATTAATTTCATATTTAGTTCGAAAAAGTAGTGTTCTCTAAGAAAACAATATAAAAAACTTTTTCATTTTACTTTTTTATTCCTAATGTTTGTTGTGTTATACAGGTAAACATATGTTTGACACTTAATTCTAGAATGTACATCATAAAATAGTTGTTTAACTGTTTTTTATTGTGATTTTTTATCTTTCTTTAGCTTATGAGTAGTTTTTGTTTTGTTTTTTATATTGTACTATTATTGTGGACCGCTAGCCACCCCGTAGGGTGTTGTTTGGTTTTAGGACATGATAATTTATACAAAGTTTATGCCTAGCGTCTTTTAGCGTGTCAGTTTCATCTATCCGTAAGTCTTGACGATATTTCCTTGGGTTTACTTGGACAGACTACACTTGCAAAGTATTTGTCGGATGGCACAATAGATGATACCTGTGACCCGTTGGCTACTGTTATTCAGCAATTGGATTCAGTGAAAAAAGGACCTGCGATTTATGTACTTACATGGCATCGTGTGAGACTGGGATAAAAGCAGTAGAAATCACGGTTGTACCCATGAATGAAGGCATTAGTGGGTCTACTAAGACGCAGGATAGGGGCGAGAGTCGTTACACGTAGTTTACCCACCCATCAAAGCCGCAAAAACAAATGCCTTTAGGAAGGCCATCGGGAGACTTGAATTTGGTAAGATAAAAAATAAATAGATTGTTATAACGTGTTGCGAATTGAGAGGTTTTGTGGTCTGGGTGGGAGTAAGAAAGGCTCGCACAGTCAATTCATGGGAGGTCACAACGAGACTCAAGGGAGAGCGTGTCATGATCCAACATAGCCACATGTTGAACTTGACTCTGTTGGATATCTACAGTGAGATGTGTTTGACAGATTATTTGTAGTCATGTGACTAAGTTTTCTTCCTAGTGTGACCACTTCCTTTTTCGTTGCAAGCCATTATTTTGTACATAGAAGTGATGAAATTGGGAGACTGGACTTTTATTTACATAGTCATTTCGACATAGGCCCTGTGTTCCACGAGCAAGTCTAAAGTGACCCTAGTCAGAAGGCGAGTCCCACTCGGAGGCGTCAAGTCCCTTTACGAGCCAAAGATGACTCTAACGGAATGTGAATAGAGGAATAGATTGAATCTATCTCAGGTAAATGAAGTGAACAATTGTAATACTTTTAGGGATTTGGACTTGAAGGACCCGTTGGTCCCAAAGCCTGTTACCAAATGTACTTTGTTTTACATTACCAGATTAGCCTCACCAAGTCTACGTTAGTGAAGACTTTGAAAACCTTGATGTCGTCAAGCTTCTGCAGCTTCTTCAAGCCAAGAATTAAGTCTGCATTCTCTTTGGTCCTACCTGACGTTAGTGATCAGACGCAATGAAACGCTCACAAAAAGAAAGTTGAGTTCAATAGCTCATAAGTCTGATTGAGTTTATAAGACCATAAATACCCAAAACGCAAATCAGATTCAATCCATCTCACTCTCAAAATTTCATGTCAACAATCAGCATACATGGAAAAGATAAGTAGATAGCAGCTAAATGTGTCAAAAGACTTCAATTCAAATTGTGATCTACAATAAGTTCATGAAAGATAATAGGATAATTGTAAAAGAAAGGAAAAGAAACAAGACTCATCCTCAAAAGTTTTTTCACCATTCCTATTTTTTGCAATATAAAGAGCTTGTAGATCTTGATGTATCATACTCATAAATAGCTGATAGATGAAACCAGCCCTCCTGTTTGTTTAAAGGATTTTTTGATTGAAGAGAGACTTGATGGCCTATACCAAAGAAGTAGTATTGCATCTAAGGCCATAGGATGGTCAATGTAAAAAGAAGAAGATAGTGTTAACATTGGGAAAGACTAAGCATACAAACCATATAGGAGAAACTGGAGAGGATTTGTTTTGGTAGAGCGCGGTCCCACACAAAAGAGGATCCATTAGCTGAGCATCGTGACTTTGAGTCTCGACTTGAATAGTGTGACCACGAGGGACTGGCAACCGGCACATTTGAACCGGTTCAATCGTGCCTGTTGATGCCCAATTGTGGTAGTTGAACGGATCTTCACTCGGCACCGTTCCCGTTGAATTTATGTCGTTGTTTCGTGCCATACTGTGTCATACCCTTACCGGATCCAACGACACCAACTAGAGAACGAGAATAGTAAACAAGGAATCATGATCAGTCAATTTGCTTCACAAAAACAATGGCAATGAATGATATATGGTCGAAATCATGGGTAGTGCAAGTGATAACCAGACTGTTCGATATCAAAAAGTGAGAGGCTTCGTGTGCAAGCCGCAAGCCAATTGAGCTTTGAGAGCGCATGTAGAAAGAAATAGCTCAGCAAAGCATCTTAGTCTCCAAGAGAAGAGAAGAGGAACACCCCACAAGAAACATTATAGATAGTAGCCTCGCTGCTGCTGCTGCTTCTGCCAAGAAATAATCCAAGAGCGTATGAAGTATTGTTGATATGTGGGTTCAATTGATCATATCTGAATTTAATAGAAGCGAGAACCAGGCAAAATCTATAAAGGTAAAGACCACATACCCTTTCCAAACGGATTATCAGGTGAGGCAAACATCGATTCACCTACCTGTGAGACAAACATCAACAACATTAGAATTAAAACCATCTAAAAGATAGTTGAAAAGACACTCACGATTCCAGGAATATGTACACCTTTCTTAACACTCTTCTTTGCAAAACTTTGCCAAGACTTTTGTTTTTCCATCTGTTCCGCTGCTTTGGCCGCTTTACTTTCAGTCTTCTTTTCGTTTTTCTTCCTTTTACGATCTTTGTCTGACTCTTGTTCATTTTCTACTAAGGATCGTTTCTTAGGATCCGTCACAGGTTTGATTTCGGATGCCGTTACCAATTCAGTGGTATCATACCCCTTAAAGACAACCGTATAGATTCGGGTATCTGACGACCCACCGATCCTGGATCAGAGGGAAAGTACAAAATGAAGGATGTTGTGTTCGATGCGAAAAACGTTATCAGCATACATTAGAAAACGAGAACAGTAATGAAAAGAAACTGACGTTGTGATTTTGGCTGGATAGTATTTGCCATCACCAGCGTACTTGGCCATGCAAGTGTCACCAGGATTTAAAAGAACGTTTGAAGTAGCGGATGCAGAAGGTTTAGCCTTTTCCTTTGTTGATTTGGCTTGAGTACCATTCTTGTTAGATGGATTAGATGAAGGATCTGTTTGAGAAGCTTTAGCGTCATCGTTCGATTGATTTGTATTCTTTGAACTTGATTGAGCAGCTAAGAAATCTTTTGTCAAGCTAATCAAATTGACAAGTTCTTCTTTCAGACTTAGAAATTCGGCATTGGATGAATCTTTTTCTAAAGCGAGATTGACCTAAATGTATCAAAATCGAGAAAACATCTTGGATTTTAGCTTTTGGAATGGAAGATGATAAGAGATGAGACAAACGAACCTGACTGAGTTGATATTCGTAAGTTTCGAGTTCTTTAGCATCCATATCGCTTAAACTCTGAATTCGATTTCAGGAAGAATGTTTGGGATGATTCGATAGAGTAAATAGTAAACTGGGTCAACTGGGTTTTTTGAAAACCGGGGCAGGTTTGAGAGCCACTATAGCTGGAAGACTCGTGGGATTCGAAACTAATCGAGATGGAAACCAAGTGACAGTCACAGTCAAAACCAGGAGGGCTGGATCGGGCCACGGGCGTTACCGGGCATCTCGACCGAGCCATGGTGGTCAATTGACAAAACCGCCCCGGTCACTCTCAAAGTGCACGCCGAGTCTAGAACTGAATGTTGCACTTGATGTTTGGTCGAAAGGGCTCACCCTTTTTGCTGCATAATGTAGCATTTTTAATCATATATTTGACATTACCTGAGATAATTTCTGACATCAACTGGAATGATTTTGCATATGTAGTGCAAAAAAACTTCATGTGCACAGTGTCCCCTTGACGGTGTCCAATCATTTTTGCCCCACACAGCCAGTATCTTGGAATGAGAAATTCATGGTGTTCTTGCATCTCAGACCTTGTTTAATCTTTTTCCCAGACTCAAGGTATTGTTGACTAATTAAACATCATATAACATCTGTTTGAGTGTTGAAATTCAATGGTGTGTTAGAGCCTTCAGCCAAAAGGTGTTGGCAATGACACCAATTGCACCAAACAGACTTCTCACAATTCCTCTACCATTATGTTTTATGCCTTGGTGAATTCAGAAAAGGCACACTTGTGAGCTACAGTCAAACCTGCACAATTGCATATTTAGGGGGAACACCCAGGCTATGCAATTCCACAAATCACCCAAAGTCAGGTAGTTAAGGGATAGGTTAAAACACATGAAATTATGCATAAATGTCAATATACAAAGAATTATTCATTCTACAAATCAAAGGCTAGGCCATTAAGACTTGAGGCTCAGTGTTTGTGCATAATAGAGGGGGGCTCAGGTCATCGAGCAATTTTGCAGCTTTGACCATAAAAAAGAAATCCCAAATTCATAAATTTTTGTATAAATTTTATGAATTCAGAATTTCTTTGATAACATCCCAAATTTGTAGGAGAAGAAAATGTGCACAAACTTACAGTGATAAGAAAACTCAAATGTCTATCAAACAAGGAAACCTAGACATACAAGTGAAAAAGAAAAGAAAGGCATCATTGTCAAGACTGATACAATAAGTAGCAAACCCCCCCAAAAGAAACCAGGGTATGGATTGATGGTTTCTTAAGAAGCTGTTGATTTCTGTTGCCCACTGCTTACTATCTTGTTTTACAAAACAGGAAATACGTCTACAGGGGAATGGTACTGTAAAAAGATTTCCCCAATTTTTCAAGTAAACACCTTGAAAATCTTGACTTGAGCCCCCCTAATTATATGCAATCTTATCCTGCCTAAAATCTATGCAACCAGTCTTTCAAAACACAGTCTTTCAAAACTTTGGCTTGCTTGTGAAGATCAGAATCTTCTGAAGTGTTGATTACCCATTCAAAAAAGTTAATGAAACTTATAATTTCAGACAGGCTTTTTAACACTGCAAAGATAATATATTTTTCCATGGTGAAAAATGATTGCATTTATTTTAAAATGATTGATGAAAAATTGTTTCTAAAATTTAGGGCCCAGTTTTAGCCCAAAATTCTTGGAAAACAGATTGCAGAGAGATACAATGCTGTTTGTCCTTGAACGTTTTTTTCAACTTGCTTAGAGTGTTTTACTCAGAAGTAACTCGGCAAGCAATTCCTGATACTTTTTCTGGTTTTTGGAAGCTCACAGCAGTTCAAAAAATCCGGAAAAATCAGAACAGATCAAAAATGCCCTTTGTGATGTTTGGTGATTTTTTCATATTTTTTGGTGCCTTTGTCTTGGATATATGCAAGGTATAACACCAAAAGTTGTTCTCTGTTTGCCAAATAAATTGTAAATGTATTTTGGGTCACCAATGTATCAAATGTGGACGGATTATCCTGAATTTTTTTCCACATAATGGCACAACCTTTGTTGTGTTGCAAAATTTTTTCTGGGTGATTTTGGAGCCTTGTACATATGTCAGCATAATATATATAGTTGTAACAATACACATGTGATGGTATACATACTGAGCCAGCAAGATCCCGAAAAAAACGTTCAACAAAGGGAATGCTGTCCTTCACTTATGATTTTTTTTCTGGCTTGTTCTTGTTAATTTTGGAGGCTTAAATGAGTGCGCAAGTTCTGCATCTCTGTCTATCTTGCCGAAAAATCTGGGAAATTAACAGACGGAGTGCTAGAATTTTTCTGTATCCGCCAAAATCTCCCACCAGAAAGAACATCACACAATTTTACTTACCTGATTTTTTCAGATTTTTTGGACCAATATGGAGCATGCCATTGCAATTGCTGGTTTCAATCATTTTTCACCATGGAAAAATATATTATCTTTGCAGTGTAACAAGGAACAGAATGCACATTTTTTCATATTTTTTGCTCTGTTTCTGACCTTTCCAGATTTTTGTATACAAATAATTTAATTTTCTGCCCAGAAAATGTTATGTTTCTTGTAGTGCTACTATATTCACGAGACCACCCTTAAAGCTTCTCTTGCATCTCCCTCTCGAAGCTACAACATATTGCTAAGTCTCATCAAAAGAGATCCAAGAGAAGAATCACCAAAAGTAAGAAGAAATCAAAACGAACGATTAAGAAGAAAGTTAAAAGAAGTTAAGAAGAAAGATTTTCAAAGTTAATAAAGTTAAATTAAAGTATAAACTTAATCTGCACTCCGCAAGCAAAGTTAGAAGAAAGTTGATTACTCAGTATTACCACAGAAGTAACATTTAAAGAAGATAACTTATACCCCGCATAATCTCGAACACCACTGCATCCTTCCAAAACGCCAAACTTTAAGCTTCCCTCTAACTCAACGGACTCGGAGTCATCGGAAAAAGAATTCTACGAGACAGAAGAGACCGCAATGAATCCAGAACACGAACAGCCCTCTATGGCCGAGATTTTACGGCAAATGAGAGAATTAAACACTCAATTCTTAGAGGTCAAAGCAAGCTTAGCTGAAGAATCGCAGAAACGAGAAGAAGCTGAGAGAAGAAGTGACGAAGCAGAACAACGACTACGTCAATTTGAAACAACCCGCACTACCTCCACTCAACTACCTCACAGCTCCGCCCCGATCGCTCAGACCTCTGTTCCGCAAACGATTAGTCAAATAAAGCCTCCTAAGATCGCCACTCCGAATAAATATGATGGTACTAAAGGACAGAAAGCCGAAGTTTATGTTAATCAGGTCTGCTTATATATGCAAATGAATGCTGCTGCATTTGTGAACGAACAAGCTCAAGTTGCGTTCGCGTTATCTTACCTTGATGGGAAAGCCAGTATTTGGAGCCAAAATTTTACCGATCAACTACTCGACCAAGATAAAATGAAACAAGTTACTTGGAAAAAATTCATTGAATCATTTAAAGCGACGTTCTTTGACTCTGAAAGATTGGCTAAAGCAGAAAAAGAAATGAGGGCGTTAACTCAAACAAAGGCAGTGGTAGATTATTGGATTAAGTTTTCGGAATTAGCGTTGATAGTTAAATGGCCTGAGAATGTATTACTATCTCAATTTAAGCAAGGATTAAAGAAAGAAATCACGGTGCATATGGTACGGGACAAATTCAAGGAAGTTGAAGAAATGGCAAAGTTAGCTATTAAACTTGATAATGAAATTAATAAAAGAGACTCCAACACGCACCACCCAATTGTTTCGACCAACACAACTTCAACCTCAACCACTATTACTGATCCAGATGCAATGGATTGTTCGGCTTATCGTGTTAACATATCAAATGAGGAGTATAACAAGAGAGGAGCAATGGGAATGTGTTATAGTTGTGGTAAAGATGATCATTTTATTAGAGACTGTCCAACTAGAAAAAGACGTGGAGGTAGAGGAGGTTGGAGAGGTAGAGGAGGATATGGAGGTTATGGGAAATTCAAAAGTAAAGTTGCTGAAGTGGATGGTGTCAAGGAAGAAGAGAAGGACGATGGAAGAGCTGAAGCCTCAAAAAATGGAGGCGCTCGGGAGTGCTAGTGGTGCCACACTCGAGCGGTAATTACTTAACTGAAGATTGTAGTAGCTTAAATTCACTTGAAATAAAAGATACGCGAATCATTGATTTTGTTACTATTTTCAAAGTTAAGAGTGCCACCCCCATTGTTGCAAGAGCCTTAGTAGACAGCGGTGCTACACATGAAGCAATGAGCCACCGGTTTGTCTCTGCCAACAAGTTCAAGATGGACCCATTACCTCAAACCAGAAGTGTAACTGGTTTTAGTGGTCACGAGTCAAGAATCACCCATACTGTTGACCTCTGTGTCAACTCCATTGAATCAACACCAACCACCTTCATAATCACTGAATTGCGCGACAAGTACGACATAATTCTTGGAATGCCTTGGATACGACAAAATTTTGAAAAGATTGATTGGAAAAACGGTCAACTCAAGGAAAATCATTCACTCATTGCAGTTGTAGAATCAACTTCGTCAAGACCGGACAAAGCCTCGAGGAACCACAAGGAGAAGCCTATGAGGCATGCTAGGAATCTTGACGAGGGGGTGGAGCCTGAAAACTCATTAACACCCCCGCAATGTGCGTATATTTCTAATTATTCAAATGACGAAAAAGAAGCAGCTAGCAAGCCATTACATCATGTAGAAAACTTAACACACACGAATTCGAACGAACACATTCAACTGCCGGAACAAGAGAAACGAAATGAAACTGCAGCTGACCGTAAGGCAGCTTTGTTGGTGCCGAAAAACCCCTTGGAGGACCACGAAAGACGGGATCCTACGAGGCAAGCTAGGCACCATGACAAGGGGGTTGAATTCAAGTTGAGTTCGTCACAGCCCCCGCAGAGTACGTGTAAACATTCTTCAATCTCAAATGTGAATGAACATGCTGGCAAGCGTTTTTCTTTTCAACCACAGCATGCTATCCAACGACTCAACTCAAGCCTAAATCGTCAAAACAAAGTGATGGATCAACTACGAACTTTACAACAACCGACAAAATCAATGATTGATGTAATGAAAACGTCATGGAACCTGTCTGCGAAGATAGCAGCAGATCAAGTGAAGGACTCACCTACTAAGAACGCGGCTGAACTCGTACCCGAATGCTATCACGACTATTTACCTATGTTCGAAAAGAGCAATTCTGACGTTTTACCACCTCATCGCCCATATGATTTCAGAGTTGATTTGATACCTGGAGCATCGCCACAAGCAGGAAAAGTTATTCCTTTATCACCGAAAGAAACTGAAGTGCTTAATGAGATGCTTGAAAAAGGACTGAAAAATGGAACAATTCGCCGTACAACTTCTCCTTGGGCAGCTCCTGTCTTATTTACCGGCAAGAAAGACGGAAATTTACGACCCTGTTTCGATTACAGACGACTCAATGCCGTAACTGTAAAGAACAAATACCCCCTTCCACTGACAATGGAACTAATAGATAGCCTACTAAATGCAGATGAATTCACGAGTTTAGATATGAGGAATGGGTATAATAATCTAAGGGTCAGGGAAGGCGACAAAGCAAAACTAGCATTTATATGTAAATCTGGCCAATTTGAACCGCGAACAATGCCCTTTGGACCAACGGGAGCGCCTGGATTTTTTCAGTACTTCATTCAAGATATACTGAAAGCTCATATAGGCCGAAATGTGGCTGCGTATCAGGATGACATATTAATCTACACCGGTCCAGGAGTTAATCATCAAGAGGTCGTGAAAGAAGTTTTGGAAATATTAAGACGTCAAAATGTATGGTTAAAACCTGAAAAATGTAAATTCTCAAAGAAAGAAATTTCGTATTTAGGATTAATCATCTCAAAGAATCAAATTAGGATGGATGAAAGCAAAGTCAAAGCAGTAAAAGACTGGCCAACCCCAAAAAATTTATCTGAAGTACAGACCTTTTTGGGATTTGCAAATTTTTACAGAAGATTCATTGATCAGTTCTCAAAGATCGCACGACCACTGCACGAGCTGTCACAAAAGAATGTTGCGTTTGAATGGAATGAACAACGTCAGAGAGCATTCGAAACACTCAAGACTGCGTTCACCACCGCCCCGGTATTGAAAATTGCGGATCCATACAAAGCTTTTGTATTGGAATGTGATTGCTCTGACTATGCGCTAGGAGCGGTACTTTCTCAAGTGTCTGATGATGACAATGAACTACATCCTATTGCATACTTATCAAGATCTCTGATTCAGGCAGAGCGGAACTATGAAATATTCGACAAGGAATTATTGGCAGTAGTAGCATCTTTCAAAGAATGGCGACAGTATCTCGAGGGGAATCCAAACCGCCTCAATGTTATTGTGTATAGTGATCATAAGAATTTACAATCCTTGATGACAACCAAAGAACTGACACGGCGGCAAGCAAGGTGGGCCGAAATTCTTGGCAGCTTTGATTTTGAAATTAGATTTCGACCAGGTAGACAATCCACCAAGCCAGATGCGTTATCTCGGAGACCGGATTTAGTCCCAGCTGAAGGAACAAAGCTCACATTTGGACAGCTACTAAAACCCGAAAATTTGCCTGCTGATGCATTTATTGATGAATTAGAGATTATTGATAAATGGTTTGAAGAAGAAGAATTGCTGGAACAAGATGAAGAGAACAACAGTGAAGAAGAAGATAACAATCAAATGCTTATGACCGACAGAGAAATATTACAAATTATAAAGATGAAGAGCAAGTCCGACCCGAAAATCAATGAGATGATTAGGCTTTGTGCTGAAATGCCAATGTCGAAGCATATCAAGGACTATCAAACTATTGATGGCATTTTATATTTCAAAAACAAGGCTGTTATTCCGTCTGACACTGATTTGAAATTACACATCCTTCGTTCTAGACACGATAGCAGATTAGCAGGTCATCCGGGGAGAATGCGAACGTTAGCACTGGTAAAGCGCGCATATCACTGGCCGTCAATGAAAGCATTCATCAACAAATACGTGGACGGATGTGGATCATGTCAACACGTAAAATCTAGGACCAAAAAGCCATTTGGAAGTCTCCAACCTTTACCTATCCCGGAAGGACCATGGCTCGACATTTGCTACGACCTAATCACAGACTTACCCAAATCTGGAGGTTATGACAGTATCCTAACTGTTGTTGACAGACTCACAAAGATGGCGCACTTTGTTGCATGTAGGAAGAGCATGAAATCCGAAGAGCTTGCTGATTTAATGATCAAGGAAGTTTGGAGGTTGCACGGCACTCCACGAACGGTAACATCTGATCGAGGAAATATCTTTATATCACGTATCACTAAAGATTTCCACAGAAGACTAGGCATCAAGACCCAATCCTCAACGGCGTATCATCCCCAAACAGATGGCCAATCAGAAATTACGAACAAAGCGGTTGAATTATATATCAGGCACTTCACCGCATACAAGCAAGATGACTGGCTGACGTTATTACCATTTGCTGAATTTTCGTATAACAACAGTGAACACTTGGCGATAGGCGTGTCCCCGTTCAAAGCTAATTATGGATTCAATGTCAACTTCACCGATGTTCCGTCCAGTGAACAATGTTTACCGCTGGTGGAACAAAGAATTGATCAAATCAAAAATGTTCAACGTGAATTAAAAGATGCAATGGGCCTAACTCAAGAATTAATGAAGATGCAACATGATAGCAAAGTTCGAGATACGCCTAATTGGAAGAAAGGAGACAAGGTCTGGCTCAACAACAAGCACCTATCAACAACACGGCCCACAGCTAAGTTTGCCCATAGATGGGTAGGACCATTTGTTATTTCAGCGCGTGTGTCTAAAAATGCTTACAAGATTGTGTTACCTAAATCTATGAGTAAGGTACACCCTGTTTTTCACGTCAACCTATTAAGAAAATTCGAAGAAAGCAAGATACCAGGACATCACAAAATGCCGCCACCACCAATAGTTATGAATAATGAAGATGAATTTGAAATTAATGAAATACTTGATAAGAGAAAAAGAGGAAGAAAATTAGAGTATTAATAACTGGAAGGGATATGGTGAAGAACATGATTCATGGGAACCAGAAGAAGGTCTCAAGAATGCAAAACAATTAATGAATGATTTTAATAGAAAGTATCCAGATGCTGAAGTTAGATACAAAAGGACGAGGAGAAAGAAGTGAGGGTATGGCTTTTTCCCACTGGGTTTTTTACACTACAAGAAAGATAATATTTTCTGGGCAGAAAATTAAATTATTGATACACAAAAATATTGAGAGGCCAGGAGAAGGGCAAAAAATGAATAAAAATATGCATCTTGTTCCCTGCGGTGAGAGCTTCACTCTCCATATTTTTCCATATTTTTACAGTCCGTATTGATAAGTGTACTAACAATAAACCTTCACAATCATCCAATTACAACCTGTAACAAGCACTGAGATTTGGCTCATTAGTGTTTAGAGAAACTTTTGATTTCTGAAAATACTCATAACTTTTTCAATTCCGGTCCAAAACGCTCGATTTTGGGTGCATTGGTAAGCTGGAATTGTCCTCCAAATAGTTCATAATAGG